ACTTCAGTAGAAATCTTCATTCTGAGCTTTTAAAGACATTTGGAATATAAAAGCATGAAATCATGTTTATTTTGATATCCCTAATGATACAGTTCAAAGTTCGACCTGAAATCAATAATTTCAATGATCAACTTTTCCAAAATTTGCCATTTCAGAAGTGCACTTTCTTGGGAATGAGTTATTCTGCATTTTTTAAGACTCCCATTATGTGATCTGTTTGAGCTAATTGACCCCTCAACATCGATCTCTATTGGCCCATCACCTTCGCTACTGCCGAGTCCATTTAAGAGTACGCCCGTTGACACATATTGGTATGCAGCTAGCAGAATGAAACGACCACGCCATGATAAATACTGTTATATTGTGTGTATCTAGTTTAGTTGTACTACCTTAAATCGTGTACAAGTTTTCGCATAATCAAATTCCCATTTTACGAAAACTGTGAGGCACTGACACTAAATACAGGCCAAATTAGCATGGAGAAGCACTCATTGCTTGCCAGCACTGTTGTTCCAACATTTGCAAACGCTGTGCACGACTGAGAATCCGAACCCATATGGAATCTAGGTCGGGTGCAAACATGAGACGCACACACTCCCGCTGCGCCACTGGTCGCCTCAACGTCAGCACATTTTAATCAACCATTCAATAGGTGTCTAGGCTGGCTGCGGTAACAGGAGGCGAAAGCCAATCGATTTCTGACCTGTCAGGTCACGTTGATTAAACACGTACACTAAAACAAGGAAAAAGATAAACTGAAATCAACTAGCCTTCATCATTGTTTAATTTTGAATAGTGTCACGCTTTCGCGAAAAGCGGTTTAGGCTCATAAACTACGATGCACTAAAAAACACTATGGTATTATTCGCTGCAGCAGAATGTGGTAGAGGGATCACAGCCAATCCGGACAAGTGGTGTTTCAGTGGATCACACCAGAAATGAAATAGTTTTTCCCTCGTAAAACTAGCGTAGGATAACATGCTCAGAAAGTTTGGCCAGCTGCAACCGGAAGAGGAGACAAATATCATAGCACTTTTGGAACGCCATCTATAGAGTGCAAAGGAAGTGGGCCACTGTTTAATCAGAAAAGGAGACGCTGTATGAACATTGTACAGTGTGCAATTATTTTCGAAGTTCTTCCGTGCCCTGTTCTGTCGCAGTCTTCATAGGAGGATTGGTATATAAGGGCAAAAGCGCAAAACACCACACTCGCTTCATACCCACAATTTATTATTTAAGCTCACGCTTCTAACTCTCACCGGAGGGGTTCGGCTTGGGGGCTAAGTCTTCATGAAATCCTTGAGTAATTTCTAATTACTTTGCACCCTTCAGCGGAATGAGTGAGACTAAGCATAGTCACTAATGAAACACATCACTTTGGATACGGCGCATATATTGCACAATCATATAAAGAGGAAATGGAAATGGCTCAGAATGTAGGGTTATGACATCAAAATTCCCAGAAAGCATGACAAGAAGGCTCTTTAAGACGTACTTTGAGTTTGGAACGGCTACTCTGTGTGTCTTTCTACACTTTTGATATCACACAGCCCCTATTCGAAATTAATGCCTACATTTGAACTGTATGCCATGTCATAGCAAATACGACTGGTATTAAGGATGAGGTTAATACTGCTCACTTTACTTCTGGTGGTTGCTGCCAAT